TGTGGAGCTTTGAAAAAGTGCCCTCTGTCTGCTGTTCGCAAATGGAGCCTAGGATTTGGCCAAACATACAAATCGGGTAGAAGAAAGAGCTGCTTCCTTCCATGAATTAGGGCCTTCTGAAGATCCTAAGTAGAAGAGTGTTTCACCTTACCAAAAAAAGCCATGGTATCACAACTTTCAACTACCTAGTATAAAATCTTAGGGAATGATGATATGTTTCCTTAAAGATCCATTCACAGTATTATATAAAGTAGGATTCCTCGACATTTGAATTTTTTCTCTTCAAAGGCCTGAAATGGTAGGGAGAAGCACATACTTTTCCAGAATGCCTTTCTGCTTAACAACTGGCAATCATTTTATTGAGCATCTACTATGTGAAGCCTATTATACTAGGCCCTGGCAGAGCTGCCAATTTATCTCAATTCATTGAGGTTGCACAGAGAGAGGACAGAAGCTAGTGACATCTTGTCCATAGTCATTTTTGTTTTGTTTTGTTTTTTTAAAAGCAAAATCTGCAATCTCTTTCATTCTTTTAGGCTCTTCTCTGAGGTATCTTTGAAACTGGTCCCTGAGGGCCTTTAGAATGGTGTTAGCTCCAGTATGGATTTCTTCTGTCATTTCTACACAATCTTCTCAACTTCATTTTCTTAAACGCCCTCTCTGCTTCTTCACACAATGCTTGAGATAATGAAGTGGTAGACTCCAAATGTGGTAGTTCCATTGTCAAGAGAGATGAGAATAGGTCAGATTAGAAACACTTAGAGATCATTTCCATTTCTACTATACTGGTCATCCTCCCAGTTTAATCTAAGCCTCCCAAGTTCAATGCCTTTTGGGAAATGTGGGTCTCCCACCAAGCACTTGGCAGGTTACTCTTCTCAACTGTGTTTTGGCTTTTGGGAAGCAATGCTGCTCATTACCTTCCACCATCCTTCTCTGTAACGTCAGCAAGTGAACTTATATGTTTCTATCTGGTGTTGCCCTTGGCTGCTATAATTCTCTGCTTGGCAAGATCATCAATATTTTTGCTGTCTGCTTTACATCAACCAAGTTTCTCTGGGATATAGTGATCGCCAGAATCATTGTCTTTACTTTTATTCATGTCCATTTTTCAGAATTGACAGTTTGTTTAAAAACTCAGGATGGGGCAGCACTGGCCTTGGAGTCAGAAGGACCTGAGTTCAAATCCAGCCTCAGACCAAACACTTGACACTTACGGCTGTGTGACCAGCTAGTAAGTCACTTAACCCCAATTGCCTAAAACAAATAAATAAACAAATATAATAAAAAAGGCAGGGTACTGCTGCTGTCATCACATACAGTGTGATCTTTCTTTGTCATCTAATTTGTGTTAGTTTTGAACTTTAAGCAGTGGATTGACTAACAGCGACCTGACTGTGAGGCAGACCACGAGGATGTTGAATCCTCCATCTGTAGCAGTGCATTTATTATGCCCTTCAGTGCTCTCAAGGTCCCCCTTCTTCCAACTCTCCTCTAGAAGAAAGTACTCAGGATGTTTAAGGTCATAAGATAACAAGGAAAATAAGATAAGAAAGATAAGATAACTATTCATAAGATAAAGTATTCATGATGTAAGATTACTTCTGAGCAGTAAATATTTGGACCCTCTTTTTCCCCCCTTCTGTATTTTTCAACATAGATTTGCTTTCTTACCCTGTGTTTCTCAACTATATTTTTCTTTTCTTTTTTTTTTTTTTTGGCTAGGCAATGGGGTTAAGTGACTTGCCCAGAGTCACACAGCTAGTAAGTGTTATATGTGTGAGGTCAGATTTGAACTCAGGTCCTCCTGAATCCAGGGCCCATGCTCTATCCACTGCACCACCTAGCTGCCCCTCAACTGTATTTTTCAACATAGATGTGCTTTCTTCCCTTGTGTTCACTTTCACACTGATGCCACCAAATGGTCTATAGGTCAAGTCCCAATGGGCATTTCAAGGTTCTCATCAGTGCATTTGCCTTTTCATCCTCTGTAAAGGCTTTTAGTGTATCAGTTGCAGTGATCTTTATGGCAGTATGTTTGCTTACACTCATCCTGAGGCATGAGGACCAAGTATCTCATGAAATGTATTATGTTGCTTTTGGATGCATAAAAACAATTCTGCCAACTCCTTTACTTATGCTCCAGGGAAAACCTGTGAGTCATCTTTCCGTTTACCTACAGCTTTTTTTCATCTTCTGACTTCGTTTAGGCAGAAAATCTTGGAAAGATGTGGTTCAGTTTCTCCAGTAATGTTATCTACTCTACTGATGATTACAGAAGGACCTCACATAAGGGGCACTAACAGTCAAATCAGTGTTAGGAGAGGGTCTGAGAACTGTGAGATTCTCAGCACTTCCCACACTCCCTTGTCCACACTTCTGCCACTGATGCTACAGAAGCAGGACTAAGAGGTGATTTCTTTTTAAGTTCATAGGCTGCCATGGGCAAAAACGCCATCCCTTAATGGGACCAACTTTCTGGTGATGAGCCTCTCTCCCTCCATGTTTTAGGTGGCTCCTTAGACATCAAACTTTGCTGTCTGGTACATACTTTTTTTTGATCCATCAAACTTGCTAGAGCTTTGGGTCTATTAGCCTAGCATTCAACAAGACGTGTCACCTCCCACTGATGACAATGAGTCATCCAAGTGGGGCTTTGTTACAGGTAACCCACCCCCATCCTAACCTGATCCTTCCAGATCTGAGGTCATCAAAAAAGTGTTTTCTCACAGACTGGTAGCTCTACCAGCCGTCTTCCTAGGTCCAACCTGTAAACAATCATTTACCTCACCACCAGGGAGCTACATTCTTCGGACTACTCTCCTTCCAGTCTTAGTTCAAACACACAAATTTAAAAAAAAAAAAGAGGAGAAAGACCTGATATCTACAAGCCCAAAATAATTTTAGCTTGCTTCTGTAGTATGTTACTAATTTGAGGAGTACAGAATGCATTGTTAACCTCAGTTTTATTTGAAGGGGATTATAAAAAGGCTCTATTAGCTAATCCTAGACACCAGACCAGGCAGCTGTTCATCCAACCAGGACAGTTGATCATCTGCATTGTTTCTCCCCACCTGGATCAGTACCCTCTACAGCAGACCTGGATCTCCAGATCTTTAACATCCATACTCTCAACCAAAGGAGTGCTAGAGCGAGTTTGAATTGGCTGTGGAAAGCCAATTGTTAAATTTTCAGGGTGAGCATTTACACCTTGGGAATTGGCAAAGCTACAAATTAGCTTGATTTAATTGTCTAGATTTAAGGAAGTGATGAGGAAAATGTTAATAATGCAATTTAAATCCAAAAGTGTTTCGTGGGCACATTTTTTTCCTTTCCCTAGAGCCGGTTATTAAAGGTTTACCAGCATACCACAGCCCCCAGGCTTTGGGGAAGTTAATCCACTCATCTTTGAAGATTGTATCCTGGGGCCTCCAGCCCGGTTGATTGGTGATTGAATGAATGCAAATCAATGCACCTAGCTTACTACCTTCTACTATCTGGTCCCAGATACCATACAGTGCTTTGCCTTCACATTTCATCTCACCCCCCAAAACAACACCTTTTGCCACCTGGCTGCCATCTTGCATGTAGCTGGTTGGCCTCTCCCCTGCTCCATTTTCTACTTCTTCCTCTGGGCATTACAATCAAGTCAATAATATCATCACTTCTGGCCACCACTTCCCTAAGTGCGTGGTTTTTTCCTGACAGAATGTGATCTCCTTGAGGGAAGGAGCAATCTTTCTCTTAAAAAAAAAAGAAGTACCTCCAACATTTAACACAATACCTGGGCTTAATAAATTCTTTTCATGCATTTGTCCTGCCACTAAAAACTAACTTTGATACCTGCTTGTTGCATAGATGTGGCCCCAGGCTACTGAAAGCTGTGCCACGAGACTAAAAACTTTAATAGGCATTAAGAAGAGAAAACAGATTTTGAGTATGAGCCCAGCAAATGTGTCTGTCATCCAAGAGCCAGTCTAAGTTCTAAGAAGCTCACCTGTTCAAATGAGTTCATTACCCATGAGGCAATCAAGTTTTGGGCCATTTTAGCTCTCAAAAACTCTCTATAGGGTGATAGATCTGAGTGAGAAGTAACCATGTTAAAAAAAAAATTATGAAGAAGCGCAAAATAAGTCATAAGGCAGCTAGGTGGCGCAATGAACAGAGCACTGGAACGGAGTAAAGAAGACCAGAGTTCAAATTCAACCTCCAACATTTATTTCTAATTATGTAGCCCTAGACAATTCACTTAACCTTTGTCTGCCTCAGATTCCCCACCTGTAAAATAGGGATAATAACAACACCTACTACTCAGGTTGGTATAAGGATAAGATGAGATAATATTGTAAAGTGCTTTGTAAATCCTTAAAGCACCAGATAAATGCTAGCCATTATAATCATTAATGCCCTGAATAAATACTACTCTGCATGTGTACTTGAAGAGCCAAATTATAGGCTTGAACTGTCTCAAGGATTGTAACAAGTATTTCTTATAAAAATTTTATGAGACATTAATGTAGTAAAATGAGTAATACAGATGTAAAGAAACCTATTCATAATCATTACTAATTTCTGACAATCTTTTATGCCTCTAAAGAAACTTTGTTCTACCACAATTATTCCATCTTCTTTTTCTGTGGAGCAATAATGGTGAATTTTAGACATCACATGCCATAATATTACACTTATGACACTACCATGAGATGGAAGAAAAATCTTTAGAGATCTCCAGTAAAAAAGATATGATCCTCCTTCAAACCCAACAGAAACTTCACTTCTATACTCTTCTGGAAAGGATAGAGGGACAGAATTACTAGAAAACTAAGTTTACTTTGTCTCTAATACTTTTGATTATTTATAGCAAATCCAAATGATAAACTTTTTATAAGCTTTACATTTTGTGACAATCTCACATGAGCTTACGGGATTGTCACAGATCATATTTTGTGAAGCAATTATATTTATTTCCTATATTTCAGGTTCAGTGAGAAAGGCATTACCTGCCGTTGAAAATTCAGTAACCTAAGAGCCTTCAGTTCCACCGTAGCCTTGGTTCGTAAATCTGGTGGCAAAGAGCCTGGCAAATTTTCCAGTTCTTGGATTCTGTGAGCTATACGAGCCTGAAGTCTAAAAGAGATAATAAAACAGAATAGCGGTTAAGAAATAGTTAGCACCTAGCCATAAATGATAAACAACAATTTCTAATTTAAATTCAGAACCAAATATATTCCAGATACCCTTAACCAATTTCTGATATCCAAGTAGACTTTCCAATAGTAGGATGTTAAGAAAAGACATCTTTGCATTAATCAAGATAGATGCCATCCATATGTTGTTTACCATACTACGCTTTCCACTTTATACTTTTTTTTTCAACATCTCAGATTAATCTACAAATTCAAATAATCATACTTCTTCTGTGGAGGAAATCACATGGTAGTATAGACATAGCAGGTGTTTAATGTTCGTGAAATTAAATTGAATTCACACTTTATGTACTAGGGCAATTAATTTTCCCATTCTCTCTCACTGTTGTTTCCTAAGGCCTATATGAAGAGAGTAGAAAGCTGATGCTATAGAACTCTCAACTTTCAGTTCTGTCCTCAGGTAACCAGGCCATTCTGATTCTCTGACAAGACACTGACAACAGTCATTACAGCAAAGTGGCTAAAATCAATCATGTACACTGAGGCCTCAGAAAGTGACCCAGTGTGTGTCTTCCCAGCTACATCTTCTAAATTTTAATGCCTTGACCAACATTCGGCATTTTTAAGCAAAACAAAACAAAACAAAACAAATTTGAAAACTAATAAAATCAAGTAAAATGAAATTTGAGGCATATTTGCCAGTTCTAATCAGTTAAGAAAATGGGCTGAGTATCACTATGGATATTCATTTTGGCCATAATTTGAAATAAAATTGCCAGTATTAAATGTAAAATGTGAAGTAAGGTATGGCCCACAATCGTCATAAATTAGGTGTTATATTAACAGATCTATCATAAGTTTTCCAATTATTTTAGTTCACCTGAACCATTTGTTCAGAACAAAGATCCATACCATTTATATTTAATGGATCTGGAACTATTGACAGTTCATATATTTCAATATGGAAGGGAACTTAAAGATCATTTTTTTTATAGCTGAGGCCACACAGCTAGATGGCAGTCAAAGGATTTGAAGCCACTTCTCTGAATTATGCTTCCTCAATCCATGCAGATCACACCTTGGTAGGCACTGTAGTGGTAGGTTACTGTGGCCACAAAGAAAAATATCATCAATGAACCTACTGAGAATGCTCTTTGCATACCTGGCTAGACTGATCGTTGGTCTATGGTGAGGTCTGTTCTCAAAACCTCTCCAGTGCAGAAGGACAAACAAGAGCTTTCAGAAGAACAATCAACTCAGAGGCAGAAGGCCCCAAGTCCATTTAAGTCTTAGCTCTACCACTTACTTGATATATAACTTTGGACAAGTCACTTCATCTATCTCTCTGCTCTTTGGTTTCCCTACCTATAAAATGAGGACAATAATACTCACACAACACTTTCACAAGCTTATTTTGAAATTCAAATGAAAGAATGTCAGTAACAATGCCTTGTAAATGTCAAAGTGCCATATGAACATCCATCACTGCAACTGGGCTCTGTTGATACATTTTTTCCATCTGCCATCTATCTTAAACTCATTTTTTCAAATTTTCAAAGTTGAGGGTACATTTCTAGTCAGTTGACCACTACTACAAATCTTTCATGCTCATATTTAATTAATTAAATTTAAAGTTTTTCTAAGTAAGAACTTCTTATAAGCAAGAACAGGTAGCAGAAAGTATCCTTGAATTGATGTTAAAAGGAAGATCTTTTAAATATTGTATCATCCAACTTTTCAAATATGTCTATAGTTTGAATCTGTTAAATCCTCAAATACTCACCTGCTGCAGAATATACCCTTCTCCAAAGTAAAGTGAAGTGAGAAATTATGATGGCCAGATATTGAGTTTTCGTATTTGGTTAATTACACATTTATCAAAGACTGTCCTAATTTTACTACACTAAAATAGGATGTCCCAGGATATTCATTTTCCATTTTCATTAACAAAGAGATCCAGAAGTAAGCAAAAATTGAAAATTAGTACCTTAATCTAATTAGAAGGAAAAGAAATCCTTCTCTGATAGGCTTCCAAACAAACAACAACTGGACAGCCAGAGCCAAACAAACAATGATAATGACAAGCAAGAACAAAGTAATTGATTATGGAAATAAGATATTACTGAACTGTTAAAGAGCTCTTCTATAGAGATCTGTTGTTGTTGTTGTTGTTGTTCAGTTGTGTCTGCCTCTTCTTGACCCCATCTGGGGTTTTCTTGGCAAAGATACTGGAGTGGTTTGCCATTTCCTTCTCCACCTCATTTTACAGATGAGAAAACTGAGGCAAACAGAGTTAAGTGACTTGCCCAGGGTCACATAGCTGTGTGAGGCCCAATTTGAACTCAGGTTTTCTTGACTCCAGGCCTGGTGTTCTATCCACTGTGACATCTAGCATCCTCTATAAAGATCACTGTTTCTCAAAGAAATATGACTGAACTTAAGATCTTTGATCACAAAAGCATCCTTCTTCCACCAGTTGCTATAACAAATATGACTACAGCAAAAGTCTGAGGACCTACAAAGATGTTAGAAGATTTCCATTCCCTCCATTAAAAAAAGTCAAAAGCAATAATAATATCCTTACAAAATCCAACTCTGGTGCCTCCCACGACATGGAAGTTACCCTGGGTTCTTGTGGGTTATGCCAACAGAGTAGACATATATATGGCAGGGCCTAGTCCACACAAAGGACTCAAGTTACAACCTTGCCAGTAGATTGAGGTTGCAGTCAGAGAACAAACCTAAGTACAGAGAATTTCAGATGATTTTTTTTTGGACATGGCAACCCATGAAACAACAAAAAATACAAAATGGCATGCAATCCCATGCACATAACACAGATGAAAGCAATGGGATAGCCAACAAACTCTTGTATAATTCTTTATCCTTGTGATCTTTTTTTCTGTAAGGATTACATGGATAATTCTCTATTAAGAAATCATTTAACTCAATGAGGAAGTTTTGCAGTAGTGAAGGGCTCCATGCAATTATCCATCCACATAGACATTTAGAGGCCTATATTATTTCTCTAGAATCCCCTCTTCACCTTGGATTTTACATGGCATATCATCTCATTACATTAGTGACCATACATATGTTTGGCTTTTTAAAATGTTTCACTTGATATTAATTGACAAAGGATCATTAGAAAAGGTTTTATCTGTGACTGTACCTATCAAGAAATCTTGCATGATCTTAACATATTCTCATAAAGATTTATAGAAATAAGAAAGTAGGTATATGTATTAGTATTCATTGGTATCTTCTCAATTGCTTTTTATTGGAATGTTCACCTCTTTGAAATATTTCAAATATCTGTTCCTGGGTGCCTTTAAAATTGTGTCACCTCTAGCATAAGTTTCTTCTTAATATATGTTGTTAAAGATAAACATATGTTATATACATGTATACACATGTGTATACATATGTATATGTAAATACATATATATTGTGTAGATAGGGATAAGGATGGAGACAGAGACAGAGGTAGAGAGAAACATATGTGGTGGTACTATCCCAGTTAAATTCTGAAATCAGTGTCTCTCATGTGCTACATAGTAAGAAGAAATGGCACTAAACCAAAGAAAGATAATAAGTACAGCTCAGCAGAGATCTGTGCTAGAACTAGACAATTTTGAGGGTGATAAAGTATAGGAAAGAAAGGAGGATATCAATCAAGGGTTTAGAAGGAAAAAAAAAGCTTGGGTCTTGTTATTATCAACCCCCAAAACAAACTGACCAAGAAAACATTATGAATAACTGCTGACCCAAGACTTCTGGGTCATGTGACCAACAAGAGAGAGGACCAGACATTTTCTTGGATCCCCAAGTCCTTTTGAACCTCTCTGAAACAGGAATTATGCATAAGAGATAAAGGGCTTCCAGCTGTCTTCACAGTCTAAAATACAAAGAAGCACCATGAAATAAAAATCCAATGAGCAGACATGAGAGAAGGCCATTCTCTAGCCCCTAAGGCCCTCACCCAGCACCTCCTCCTCTACCCCACTCTGGACAGGATGAACAAGCTAAGCCAAAGGCTTGAATCCCACTCACCTCCACCCGCCCGGATCCCTCCAGTGATATAGCTTGGGCTGCAACATCAAGCAATGTTTTGTGCTGCAATAGACCTCAGCCAAAGAACTGCAGAATGAAGGGCTTCAGCATGTGTAGTTGTGTGGTCCTGAGGGAATGGGACCAGCACCTAGCTGGGGTCCTATTCTGTTCCTCCAAAAGTCACTTGGACCAGAAGCTGAGGGTAGTGAAATGTGAACTGAGGCCAGGCTGCCTTGAAGCCCAACCTCCAGGAAAATCACAGGAAAAGAACTCAGAAAGTGGATGATAGGGGCACAGAAGGAAAAAAGGGTGAATCTACCAAGGATCTTAGGAGGAAGAAAATTCAGTTAAAGACCTTGAGCATAAGCAAATAAACCAACAGGTAAATATTAATAAGAGAAGGGAATATGGTCTCCAGATCAGCTAAAAGAATTCAAAATCTATGAATAAATATTGAAAGACAAAGGAAAATAAATCAATACCTGATGAGGCAAAGGACCCTGCAGATTCCCAAGAGACCACAGAACAATAACAGAGTATTCTTGAATGGTTTCAAAGAGAAATAAATTTTGTGAAAGCAAAATTCACGGCCTGAACAGCAGAAATAATTGGAAGAATAGAAAAATGTGAATCCACAAAGGCCAGTCACCAAAGAAACAAAAGAGAGAAGAATTGATTAGGAAGGCAAATACACAGGAGTGAAGGATAATCTGGAAGAAGAGAAGCAAAAAGCAATAATGTTAACAGAAGGTATGATTTCCATATAAGCAAAACATATTGATCTCAAAGACTGTATGTGTAAAAAAAATTTTAAAGTTCTAATTCTCTCAGAAGAATATTTGAGGTTAAAAAAAACCCCATGAATACCATAATACAAGAAATAATATAAGAAAATTGCCCAGAACTTCTGAATAAAGTATCAATCAA